AAAAAAAAAAGCCCTCAAAACTCAACAGTAAAAACATCTCATTGGAAAGTGGACAAAAAACGCGAACAGACAATTCACTGAAGATACACAGATGGCAAGCAAGCACATGAAATGTGTTCAAAATCATTAGCCAGTCAGGTCAAAATCATTAGCTCACGGTGCGTGAGATCAAGTTCTGTGTCAGGCTCTGCACTGACAGCACAGAGGAGCTTGTTTGGGATTTTGTCTCCCTTTCTCTCTTCCCCTTGCGTGTGCACACACACACACATACACACTCTCTCTCAAATAGGTAAACTTTAAAAAAAATTGGGGCACCTGGGTGGCTCAGTTGCTTGAGCGTCCGACTTCAGCTTGGGTCATGATCTCATGGTTCATGAGTTTGAGCCCCACTTCGAGCTCTGTGCTGACAGCTGGGAGCCTGGAGCCTGCTTCAGATTCTGTCTCCCTCTCACTGCCCCTCCCCCATTCACGCTGTCTCTCTGTCTCTCAAGAATAAATAATAAAACATTAAAAAAAATCATTAGCCAGTAAGGAAATGCAAATTAAAATCACAATTAGATATTACTATACACGTATCTGAATGGATAAATGAAAAATGTTGACAATACCAAATGCTGGCTCAATGAAGAGGAAGTCGGTCACACATCCATTCCTGGTGAAAATGTAAAATAGTACAGCCACTCTGGAAAGCAGTTTGGTAGTTTATTTAAGAAACTAAACGTGCAGCTAACATTCAACCCAGTAATTCTGCTGGGCTTAGATCACAGAGAAAAATGAAAACTTACGTTTATACAAAAACTGGGACAGAAATTTTTAGAGTAGCTTTGTTTGTAATGACCTAAAACTGGCAACATCCCAGATGTTCCTTCAATGGGTGAATGGATAAACAAACTGTAGTACAGGCATACCATGAAACACTAGTCAGCAATGAAAAGGAATAACCTGCTGATGCATACAACTGGGCTGAATCTCCAGAGGATTATGCAGAGCAAAAAAAGCTGATCCCAAAATGTTACATACTATAGTCCTTACTTTAGGTAAGGACTGTATTCATGTAACCTTCTTGAAATGATAAAATTATGGAAATGAAGAATAGATTAGGTATTAAGGAGGGAGCAAGTGTGGGGAGGAAAGTGGGTACGGTTATAAAAGGGCAACATGAGGAATCCTTGTGTGATGTAATTGTTTTTTGATTTTTGACTGTATCAGTGTGGATATCGTGGTTGTGATAATGTATTATAGTTTTGAAAAAGATGTTATTATTGGTGCAAAGTGGATAAAGCTTAAAGATCTCCCTGTATTGTTTCTCACAACTGCATGTGAATGTGCAATTTTTCCAAAACAAAAAGTTTAATTTAAAAAAGGTTTGGGGGTAAAACTACTTTCATGTTGGCACTTTCGCTGAATGTGGTGGTAGGATCATCTTGGTTCTCTTAGGTCCTGTCATGTCAGGACTAGGAGGGATCATCAGGATGACCTGCATGAAGCCACCTTCATGAAGGGCCTCAAACATGTTTGATATCACCTCTGGAGATACGCTGACAAGATCAAAGGATGGCAAACACAGATGTCATGCCAGACATTGCCAGCTCTGCCCAGCCCCTCTCAGATTCCTGGAATCGTT